TGCACGAGTGCTCCCGGGGCTCTCCCTGGGATCAGTTCTGCTCCATTGGCACCTTGGAGTTCATTCCCATTCCAGCTCCAGCCCATCAGTCCCACCCTGCTTGTTTTTCTCTCTCCAGCCCACGCTGTTTGTGCTCCTGGGCTGAGGTTTGGATCATTTGTCCTTGGTGCCCAGCTGGAGCAGGAATTGTTTTGTGTCCCTGCTCTGTGCACAGAGCTCACCATCCCATCATGTGAAGCCCAGACCCACACACTAAAGCAGCTCAGAATGTCAAAAATATAAAAACTCAACCCTGAGGCATCAAGGTGATCCCTTCAAGAACCAATGGTTAGAATTCCCAACCCCCTTGGAAAAGCGTTTTGGCCCAGGTGGGCGACTCCTCATTCCCGTCCTTTTGCAAATCCTCGGGCTAAAACCAGTTTTAACCTGCACATTCCCTGGCTGTTTTCCACACAGGGGTTAAACCCGGGTTTGTTAATCCTGGATCGAGCTCCGTGTGATGGATCTGGAACGCTTTGAGCCCTGGTGAAATGTTCAGCTCGGGGGGGTTCCCCCTTTGTTTGAGGGGTTGGGGACTTCGGGATTGGGGGGGTTGGGCCATTCTTTTTCTTGGATTGCGTGGTTCCGGGTTGGGGGGTTGGTTGGGGGGGGTTGGGGTTGGGGTTTGGAGCTCATTCCCAACATGGAGAGGGTTTGGCATCACCAACCCCGTGGGAGGAGCCAGGCTTGTGCCAGCGCCGGTGTCCCCAACACCTCTCAGGTGTCACCAGGAGCAGGAGGTGAAGGACCCGCCTTGGCAGCTCCAGCGCTGCAGGAAAACAACGTTTCCTTCAGGAATAGAGATGAGGTTTGGAGTGGGACATCAGGGCAATCACCTTGATCCCCACCCTATCACAGCACAAAAAAAAAAAATAATTTCTCACCAATCTTCACCCTTCTTTGTTTAAAAAAAAAATGAAGATTGATTTTATATCTCTGCATCATCGATGGATGAGATGTTTTTCCACTGGGAAAAGACTTCCCAGGAAGTTTGTCACCGAGCAGTGGCAGTTCTTCAAGGCCACCGCCTTGTCCTGCTGTTCTATCCATAAAATGATGGATTTTAATTCATTCTGTGCAGAAATTTGAATTCCCAAGTTCTTGGCAGGTGGATTTGGAAGCTCCAGCAATGCTGGAGAGCTTGTGCTGCTTAACCCCTCAGAAAACTCTTGTTTTCTCCCTTTGTTCCCAAAAAATAACAAATACCCGTGGCCAAGAATCAATTAAAGACACTCAGAACAAAACAATTTACTGGGATTGAGCGTAGTTCTCTCTGGTTTTATTTGACTGACCCAGATTGGCAGAGAAATTACAGACTATTCCTGAGCTCTGGGGTGGAGATGAAGCAAAATCTTTTTCTTTTTAGCATTTTTATTGAATATTTGTTCTTAATGTGTTCGACCAGACCTTCACTGAGGAAAAAAAGGGGTTTTTTCCCAGGAAAAGCTTTTGGATTTAAGTAACTTGGTGTGAAAACCTGCTGGAAAAGGAGTTTGTGCTTTGGTGTCACCATAAAATGGGTTTTTTACCCCCTTTAAAGGCTTTGAGTTGTTTTACACTGAGCTGAAGTCTTGTCTCCCTTAGGATTTTGCAGGAGAAGGTTCATGGATAATGTGGGAAATGAAAACTTTACCTGGAAAACACAATTGGGGCAGCAATATCAAGTGAGAAAAACAATGCTGATCCCAGCTTCTCATCCCCTGAGATATTTCCACACTGGAAATAATTCATATTTCTATTTCTCACATTTTTCAGTCATTGTACAACTCAGGAATTCTGAGGGGATTTCCCTCCTTTTTTTTTCCCCCATCTTTTCCTTCAGGAATTGCTTTCATCTAGCTCAGGAATTTTTTGCTCTTTTAGTGAATTCCTTGAAATCTGCCCTGGAGAGGGAAAATGCCATGGGAGGAACATTTTGGGGATTTTCCCTGGCAGCATTTTCCATCCTCGGGACAACTGTTGAGAGGAGCAGGATCAGATCCAACCTGGGGTAAATCCAGTGTAAATCCGGTGTAAATCCGGTGTATAGAAAGAATCAGGGCTGGGGGAGCTTTTTAGTTCCATATTCAGAATTGGTGCTGAGGACAATCAGTTGTGCCCTGCTGCTTCCCAGATCCCTTTTCCTTGGAATCACAGGATGGAATCACAGGATGGGTTGGGTTGGAGGAGACCTCAAAGCTCCACCAACGTCTGGCAGTGCCTCACCAGCCTCGTTTTTCCCATTTTTTCTTCCTTGGATCATCTCTTCCCACCTAAAAGGCTGTGGAACGAGCGGACGCCGTGCAGGACAATCATTTTCATTCTCATTTAGTGCCTGGAGTTTTTATCCAAGGAGTTTTTTTCCCTGATAATTTATTACCTGAGATAATTCCCATAAAAGCCCCTCAACATCCTACCCAGAGAAGCTGTGGCTGCTCCATCCCTGGAAATGTCCAAGGCTGGAGCAACCTGAGATGGTGGGAGATGTGGAATGGAACTGGATGGGATTTAAGGTCCCTTCCAACCCAAACCATTCCATGATTCCATAATTCCCAAAGGATTGGAACAACACAGGGATGGATGTTGGAGTCTGGACCCTTCCAAGGACAAACTCTGCCCTGGTTGCCATGGGGGACGCAGCGAGGGGCGGGATAATTAAAATAATAATAATTAAAAACCACTTTGCCATCCAACAAACGCCCCCGTTGTTTTAGTTGCTCATTAGTTAATTTTCTTCTAACGAGGCTCCGTCATCTGACATTGGGGGGGAAAGAGGGAGAGCGGGGAGGGGAGGGCCCGAGTTAAAGGAGCTTAATTAGCGAGTTAATTATAGCGAGCAGGGAAATGTCCTGGTTACATAAATAAGGCATTGTTATGCCCGCACCAGCCAGGCCACGTTCAAAACTTGCCGCGGCGGCGCTCCGGAGCTCAGGGAACGCTGTAATTCCACACAAAACACAGGCAGGAATTGTTCGTGGCGACGCCTCATTAAGTCCTAGGGTCTGCCAAAAAAATAAAAAAATAAAAAAATTTAAAAAAAAATCCGAAAATCCCAACTGGTTCCCTTCGGCTCCCGCCCTGGCTGCCTCCGCCTGCGGTGAAACCGGAGCGGGCAGGATCAGCGGGATGGGGATGGGTGCTGGGTATAAATGGGCATTCCCTGCTCCCGAGGGAGCGGCGCCCGGGGGCAGCCGGCGAGGCCACCATGCCCAACAAGAAGAAGTACAACGTCAACGGGCAGTCAACGGGCACGAAAGCCCAGGTGAGGGCACGCTTTGGGACCGTAATAATGGCTTTTCTGCTCAAAAATGCGATCGTTTCTCTGTTGCCTCTCTCTTCTTCCTCCTTCCCCTCGCTGTTTGCATCCAGTCGCTTATTCCTGGAGCTCCTCAGCTGGAGAAAATCCAAACCTCTGGAGGGTTTATCTTAAATTTTCTCTCGGGAGTGATGAAGAGTCGAGGCAAACGCGTTGCTCCGGGGTTGTTCTTCTGTCTGGAGGAGTTGGTGGGGTCGGCGTGGGGAAGTTTTCCAGGAAAACCTTGGATAAGGAGACCTTTTTTGCACGGAGGAGTAGCTCAGGGTGGCTCTTTGTGATGGAAACCCCAGGTCAGATGAGCCGTGGCTCATTTGGAATGTAAAGGTGAAACCTCACCTGCATTAACCCCTTGTGCCCCTGCAGGTGAGGTTTTCCAGCGGGAATCATTTGTTCCTGCTGGAAGTTGAAAGCAGCAGCTCTTGTGTCACTTCAGAGCAGCTTGGGCTCCTAAATCCAAGGAACTGCAGCTCTCCAAGGCTCCACAGCTTCTCCTTGGAGCTGTTGCCTTCAGAGCTGTTCTGGTGGGAGCTGACTGAGCTCAGCCTGGAGCCAAATCTCTCTTTTCATCCCATCTGGAACATTCTCGTCTTCCCAGCCGGGCTGGAACATGACTCTTGTGAGTTTGGCAGGGATTGGAGCAGCCTGTGGTAGGGGAAGGTGTCCTGTGGAACTGGATGATCCTTAAGGTCCCTTCCAACCCAGACCATTCTGGGATTCTGTGAAATTCCCTTTTTGCCCACTCTCTCTATTCCCTAAAGGATTAAACCCAAAGGACCTCGGCCAGCACAAGCCAAAAGCAGATCCGAGTCTTGACCTGGTCCCTTCCCGAATTTCCCTTTCCTGGTGCTTCCTTCCATCTCCTGGCTGTCTCAGCTAAAGCTGAGCCCAACTCGTGGCCGTGTTTAAGGGGTTTAAACCTTAAAGGGTTTATTTAAGTCTGGTTCTAATTCTGCCTGATTCGGTTCAGGACTTCTTTTGCTTCGTCGTTTCCTTGGTTTTGGACGTGTGAGGGCTCAGGGAGCTCTGAACTACCAAGATCATTGTGTTGTGTGAAAAGTTGGGTTCAATGTCCTTGAAGAGGTGATGTGGGAAAAAAAAAAAGTGAATTTAACCCAAATTATTCCCCGTTTGTTAGAATCCCTGTGTGTCTCCAGCTCCACTTCACGCCAGTAACCTCCTCCTGCAATGGAGCTGCTCAGCCGTGCAGGGATTTGTTCTAAATTAAGGGAAGGAAAAGGACAAAAAAGGGAAGTTATTTCAGGCCAGCAGCTTCTTAGAGGAGGAACACAAACCCTGGTGTGTGTGCAAAGCCCCCGTCCCGCCGGGATCAGGGCGTTAATCCCGGCACAGCACTGGCTGTAACTTGAGTTTGGTGTGGATTTTCTCTTCCCTGATCTGGTGTCGTTCTCTTGTGTACTCCTAAAAACCTGTGTTCTCCAGCCAGCTGTGCTCCCAAAATTCAACAGCCTGGAGTGACATCTCTAATTTTGTCTGGAAGGACTGAAATTAAACAAAATGGGCAATTTACCATATCCAGTCCCCATTCAATAACAGGAATTGTGCTCCGAGCCATGACTGAGATGTGCCGGTGTCTGCTCAAGGCTTTGGGTTCTTGGGGTTGATCTGTTGGGTTTTTTTACGGAAAATCCCTGATTTCTTTCCACAGATCCAGTTTGCTGACCAAAAGCAGGAGTTCAACAAGCGCCCGACCAAGATCGGCCGCCGGTCGCTGTCCCGCTCCATCTCGCAGTCCTCGACAGACAGCTACAGCTCAGGTGTGTCCAGGCATCTCCCACGCCTGCTCTGGGGTCAGACTTTTGCCTTTTTCCTCCTTGTCCTGTATGGATAGATGGAAAATTAAAATTATTCTGGTGCTCTTCTGCTCTCTCCTTATAACCCCAGCGTCCCTTCCATTCCCTTCCTCCCTGTCCTGTTCCTCCCAGGAAAAGTGTTTCTGTGCTTTATTCCTGCTTGAGCATCACAAATCCACGGGGATCCCACTGTAGGCTTGTTGCACATGGGGTTGGAGTCTTTGGGGAGTTGGAAGGGCTCTTGGAAGGGGTTTCTCCAGCTGGAATGTTGCTGGATGGATTTTTGGGATACTTGGCAGCTCACGGTGTATTTGGGGAGAATTTGGGTGGTTTTGGGGACCTTAGAGCTCACCTCATTCCATCCCCTTGCCGTGGTCAAGGACACCTTCCATGAGTCCAGGCTGCTCCAAGCCTCATCCAGCCTGGCCTGAGATGTTCAAAGCTCGGATTCAGTTCTGGCCCTCGGGGGTTGTTGGCAAGGTGGGACTCGCCCTTCATCCCCTGCCAAGGATGAGGAGAAATTCCAGCAATGCCTAATCCCCTCCTAATTCCCTGGGATCGGGAGCTGGGCAGCTCTGGAGGAGCCTGGCACCCAGGCTCAGCATTTTCCTTGGAATCCTGAAACCTTTCCCACAAGCCAGGAGGGAAAGCATGGAGCTTGTTGGGTCCTGCAGGAAACACAACCCCATGGCCAGTTTAACACCTTTTTTGGGGGGTTTTCGATGTGGGAATGTCACTGGAGCTGATCAGGGTAGAAGATCGTTTGATTTGCTCTGGATAAATGAAGGAGCCGTTGGAATCCATCCCCGCTCAAGGCCTGGATACCTCTGGAATGCCGCGGCTCTCCAGGAATGCTGGTGGGGTCAACACTGCGAGAACCTCCCCCCTTCCTGCTTGCCCCGTTCCCCTGGTGCAGATTTGGGGTGGAAACTGGGAATCTTGACCCTAGCAGCTCCTTTGGGTTCCAGAGGGGATGTGGAAGGAGGAGTATCCATCACCGTGTCCATCGTTCCCGGTGTTCCAAAATGTCAGGCAGCTCCAGCAGGGCCAACGTGGATGGAGCTGTTCCACCACGGAATTCCTGTGGGGTGGAGCAAATTGTTGGATGCCAGGCCTCAGGTTCACTTTACAAGCACCACGTGAGCTGGAGAGGAAGGGCTTGGAGCAGAACAATTCCATGAGGAATGGCCAGTTGGGTCCTGGAAGGGTCACCTGGAGAGGAAGGGCTTGGAGCAGAACAATTCCATGAGGAATGAGGGAATGGCCAGTTGGGTCCTGGAAGGGTCACCATCTTTGGGGAAGAGAGATGGGAGAACTTCTCGGGGAAGAGAAGTGGGAGAACTTTGGGGAAGAGAGGTGGGAGGGCTTTTAGGAAGAGTGGTGGGAGAACTTTGGGGAAGAGAGCTGGGAGAACTTTTGGGGGAAGAGAAGTGGGAGAACTTTTAGGAAGAGAGGTGGGAGAACTTTTGGGGGAAGAGAAGTGGGAGAACATTTGGGAAGAGAAGCGGGAGGACTATTAGGAAGAGTGGTGGGAGAACTTTGGGGAAGAGAGGTGGGAGAACATTTGGGTAGAGAGCTGGGAGAACTTCTGGGGGAAGAGAGGCGGGAGAAAATTTGGGGGAAAAGTGGTAGGAGAACTTTGGGGAAGAGAGGTGGGAGAACTTTTGGGGGAAGAGAGGTGGGAGAAGACCCTGCAGACGAGCCCGTGTGGGAACCAGGCACTGCTCAATCCCATCACTGTGCTCTTGGAGATGGATGAGAATTAACAATTCATCCCAGCTAAATCCAGCTGGGAAAAGGAGAAGGAGAGATCCCAGCTGGGCCTGGAAGGAGCTGGGATGGAAGGACATCCATGGACACCCTCGGTGGGGCACCCACACGCTTCCCTGTGGGCGCTGGGAATTTTGGGAATGTTTAACCCTTTCCTGACCCGCCCTGCTCCCTGCAGCTGCCTCCTACACGGACAGCTCGGACGATGAGACCTCCCCGAGGGACAAGCAGCAGAAGAACTCCAAGGGCAGCAGCGATTTCTGCGTGAAGAACATCAAACAGGCCGAGTTCGGGCGCCGCGAGATCGAGATCGCCGAGCAGGGTAAGGGGGCTCCTGCCTCCCGCCCCCGACCCCTCCTGGGCAGCCTCGGGGTGCTGCTGGCCTCCTGACCCCCTTCCTGGGCTTGGGAAAGCTGCTCGGGGCTTTGGGGTGGGAAAGCTGCTGTGGGGTTTTGGGGTTGGGGCTTCTGTGGGGTTTTGGGCGTTGGGAAAGCTGCTGTGGGGTTTTGGGGTGGGAAAGCTGCTTGGGGGGTCTTGGGGTGGGAAAGCTGCTCGGGGGTTTTGGGGTGGGAAAGCTGCTGTGGGTCTTGGGGTTGGGGCTTCTGTAGGGTTTTGGGGTGGGAAAGATTCTGTGGGGTTTTGGGGTGGGAAAGCTGCTGTGGGGTTTTGGGGTTGGGAAAGCTGCTCGGGGCTTTTGGGGTGGGAAAGCTGCTCGGGGGTTTTGGGGTGGGAAAGCTGCTGGGGGGTTTTGGGGTTGGGAAAGCTGCTGGGGGGTTTTGGGGTGGGAAAGCTGCTCGGGGGTTTTGGGGTTGGGAAAGCTGCTGTGGGGTCTTGGGGTTGGGGCTTCTGTAGGGTTTTGGGGTGGGAAAGATTCTGTGGGGTTTTGGGGTGGGAAAGCTGCTGTGGGGTTTTGGGGTGGGAAAGCTGCTGTGGGGTTTTGGGGTGGGAAAGCTGCTGTGGGGTTTTGGGGTGGGAAAGCTGCTTGGGGGTCTTGGGGGGGGAAAGCTGCTCGGGGGTTTTGGGGTTGGGAAAGCTGCT